TGAGACCGCCGATAAGACTTTGATATTCTTTATTCACAAGTGCATCACATTCGTTTTCGCTTTTTCAAATCCGAACCAATTACCCATGGCGAAGACGCGCCATTACATTCACTCATGCCCCATCGTTTTAGCAACTCCTTTGATGAATACTAATATCACCTCGTGTTTCATTTCTCTCGATTTCCAACCCAAGATAAAACGAAATCGATCCACGATTATCAACTTCAACATGTTCGTTCAATTGGTCTATGATTCCATATCGTCTACATACACTGCAATGAAGCACAAATTCTCCACTTGACGTCTTACATACATACAGCTATCGGATAAACACCTTCCAAATTCCAATGTCTCCAAAATTTGCGTCACTTTTTTATTCCATTCACGCCCAGTTTGCTTCAATCCATATAAAGCTTACACATTTTGCTGCGATTGTAAATATTTTCAAATTTTGATGGTTGGCGCATAAACACCTTCCTGCAAGTCACCATTTAAGTACGCTGCAACAATGTCAACATGATTTACTAAAAGCTTATGCCTTGCAGCCAGTGCTAGCAGTAACCGAATTGTAGACTGTCTTACCACAGGGGAAAATATTTTAGTATAATCAACCTGATACTGTTGAGAACATGCTTGAGCAACTAACCTTGCTTTGTATTTTTCTATTGTCCCATCCGGTTTCCTCTTAACTGAGAAAACCCACCTACAACCAATTATATTTTTATCTTCAGGTTTGTCTATCAATGACCAAGTATTGTTTTTTAATAAAGATATGTATTCTGTATTCATTGCCTTTTTCCAATATTCAGCATCTCCTGAATGTAATGCTTCCTGTGCAGTCTGTAGATTTTCTGCATATAAACTTAGTTTTTGTTGTTTTGCTCTATTTCTCGTATTCCTTTCTTCAACATTTTTCTTATTTTCAACATTTTTCTCTTCCAGATCCAAATCATTTTCAGTGATTTCCGAATCACTGTGCATGCTGGTTGTCGTTTCATGTTCTTTCTCTATGTCACAAGAAATCATAACTGAAAACTCTCAAAGGCTATCCTTTAAAAGTTTATACTATCTAGCACATAAACTAGTAGTTTTATATTTGAAGGTTTAAGCAGACTAGCACTTGAGCTGTTGCTTTTTTGAATATATTGATTTGGCAGACTAGCGCTTAAGCTGTTGCCGAGCGTAATAAAAGGCGAGATTATTGATTTAAATCTGATCGTTTATTATTAATGTTTCAATTTATATACAAATTTACAATGCACGAAATCGATAAATCATCAAAATTAAAAATATTCATTAATTTGCAGTATACAAAAAAACAAAGAAACTACATAATTAACATATTAACCAAAACTGTATTAATTTACAAAATATTTATTAATTGTTTCACTTTAATGAGGCCAAACACTTTCGTCAGTGCATTAACCACAAAAAAGCTGCTGTTGCAACATTACAAAGCGTTGGCCTATAAACAAACAAGTAGCACTTGAATTGTGCAAGCAATAATTGTTAAAACATATGCTTATACTGCAAAATAAAAATACCAATAAAAAATATAACTACTAAACCTAAATAAATAATGATAACATAAAAATCCAAGACGTAAATCTAAGGCGTAAGCCTTAACAATAACATTACCTAATTAATTTGAATTTTTTTGAGCACAACCGTTTTTGGATTTGAGAATCCTATGCAGAATGACTGATTTTCATCTACAATTACTTTTTGTTGATTTTCCTCCTTCACAAATGAATTTTCAAGAAATTTCACATCCCTTGCTTTTATAATATTTCGTTTTGAAGAGTTGTATAATATATGTTATAGCCCTTTGTTGAAGTTTCATAGCCGATCATTTTGCATACAGTTCCTTCTGGTGCAAATTTGCCTCCGCTTCTGTTCTTATTTAGCACGATCACGTCGCATCCAAATGTTCGTATGTAGTGAACAGATGGTTTTCTCACAAACCAACGTTCATATGGGGTTACATTCAGCAACACCTTTGTAGGTGATCTATTTCACAAATAACAGGCAGTGTTTATAGCTCAGCTTCAGCCCATAAAAATTGAGGTAAATCAGAATCGAATAATAAGCACCCTGCCATTTCTACGAGTGTTCTATTTACTCTCTCTGCTACACCATTCTGCTGAGGGCAATGGGTTAGCGTCGTTTGATGCAATATACCGTTTTTCTCAAAAAAGGATTTAAATTTTGAGTTTACGTATTCTTTACCATTATCAGTCCTTAGTGTTTTAATTGACTTTCCACTCATGTTTTGACCTAATGCAGCAAAAACCTTAAATGCATCGAAAGCATCTGATTTTTGTTTTAAGAAATATACAGAGATAAACCGCGAAAAGTCATCGACAAAAGTTATAAAATATAGTGAACCACCAAGTGATTTTGTTTTAAAAGGTCCACACAAATCACTATGCACCAACTCAAGTGGCGCTTTTGTTTTTATTTGAGCATAACTTTTATATGGTTTCGCACTTATTTTACATACACCACAAGTTAAACACTCAAAATCACTGGACATCTTTATATTCAAACCAATTACTATGTCTTTATCTGATAATTTATTTATATCATTCGTATTTAGATCTCCATACCACATGTGCCATTTTTTATAATGATTTTTTGTATACGCACTTCCGCATTGTTCTTCAAATTTTTCGAGTTTAAAATTCACTAAAAAGATTCCATCTACTTCATTTGCTTCAAATAGTGTTTCTTTGTCTTTATTTTTAATTATCGCGTTTTTTCTTGCAAAAAATACCGTATTTTCAGATTTTAATATTTTGCTTAATGATAAAAAATTGCAATGTAAACCGAAAACGAAGAGAACATTTAAGAGAGTTAAGTTTGCATATTTTGTCTTTACATTTAGTGTTTCTCTCCCCTCTGAATATACACAGTCACCTGACGGCAACACTATTTTTTGCTTCCACGCCTCAAGAGAATCGAATAACTCTTTTCTTGGGCTCATGTGAGATGTACGTGTCCCCTTTGATGGCATTTATAGCACTCGATATTGTTGCTCATCCAGCTCTTCTTGTTGTTATTGTTATTTTTATGTTGTTTCTATTATTTGCATTATACAGCATGTTGAAGTTTTTACCGTTACTTTTGTTTTTATTATATCGGTAATTCTTGGTATTGTGATGTCTGTTATATTCAATATTTGATGTATTTACCCC